CATGCAGGGAGCCTGATGTGGGACTCGATCCGGGGCCTCCAGGATCAGGCCCTGGGCTGAAGGCGATGCTAAACCGCTGAGCCACCCTGGCTGCCCTGAAAAAGTTTTAAACTAGAGAGAGTGGTGGTTGCAGGACAGTGTAAATACACTGAATATCACAGAATTGTGTGCTTTAAAGTGGTTCGTTGCATGTTATGTGAAGTTCACCTCAATGAAAGACAAAGGGAGCTTCTTTTTACCTCTCAAGGACTCTGTGTGCCCTGCCTGCAGGCCTCACTGTGTAAACTTCCTTAGAGCAAAGAGTGTTGCCTGCATTTTCCCAGCGTAGGGCTATTAGCGATTTCTTGTTGACCCTCTCCAAGCCTGCAGATTCTTCTGGAGTGGTACAAACCCAAGTGGTGGAAGAAGGATTACCACACCGGGGCAATCGCATCCTATTTGAGCAACCATGTATTAATCCCATGCCCCCTTTCCAACCCCATCACTTGTGTGTCACAAGGACCATGTATGGTAGGCAAGGTAAACCAGAATCAAGACACCACAGGGCATGGCTGCATGTACAGAGGTTACTGTGCCCACCCATTGCTGTCTCTGGCCACAGCTCTGGGAAAGGGGCCATGGCTGAGGCCTGTGCCAGCGGGGTGGCAGTGTCTCCATGCAGAGTTCCTGGAATCCATTCGAATGTTGGAGTGGAGAAAGTTTAGGGAAATGTGTGCCCTACTCACACTTGGACTGCCCTTCAAAAAAGATGGGGGTTTCCCGCTTTCTCCAGCCCAAAACACCCTTTTCTACTCTGCCAGGATATGTGGGAGTAGGCACTATGATTGCCCCACCCAGCTGTTCGGTCAACCCCTATCTCCTGTGCTGATGGGCACAAATCCACTTGGACGTGTTGATACCTACCGTAACCTTGGATCATTCCAGAATACCGTTTGGACAGAAATGCTCGTTCGATGAAAAGTGACCAGAGCAACTCTTAGTTTCAAATCAGCCTGGTGTTTAGGCAATGACTCCAGCTCTCAGCAGCTTCCTGTCGGCTCAGATGTGACTTACATGTCGTATTGTGTACCAGCTGTGCTTCCTGTTTTATAATATCCAAATTTAATACCGCCTTCCTGCCTTCCTGCCCTACGTAGCAGGTGAAAGTTAAATTGAAAGGGACTCTGGGTTTCCTTTCTGGGTGGGTTACCCCTACCATCCTCCCTCTCCTCCTGCTCTATGAATAGATTTTTTTCCCCCAGTTGGCACACTATAAGCCTTCTTCGGCTCCTCCAGCCTCAAGGCTTCTTAGAGCAAAAGGCCTAGTCTCTCTCCATGCTGTTCTCTCTCTCCTGGTCATGGGAAGCACCTGAAGTCTTTGAGAGGGCAGCTCTGCAGTAAGAAGCAAAACTTTCCACCACCAAATGCCAGTCTGCATGTCCATAAACCTATGTCTTCTCTGATCACATATTTTCTTTCTTGACCACTTTGCACATTGCTGCTCAGCAGCAAGATAGCTACGTTGCAGGAAGAGACAGTCTCCTCCTCCACTCAACAAACAGATCACAACTGTGCTCGGTGCAGGGTGGCTTCTGCTGCCAACATGCTGGGGGTGGCCAGAGCAATGCCATGTCCCCACAGGGGAAGCTACACTTCTGCTCTAGTGCCATTCTGAAGTGGAAGCAATTTAGGGGAACCCCATAAAGCAAGTCTGATGTTGCCTGGGCCCCCGCTCTGAACTACTTTCCCCAACTAGACCAAACTTGGATGTCCCAGAGCCCCTAGCTCCCAGTAGACCATTCATTTGTTTTATGAAATTATGCTATCATCATTCTCAACCCAAGCACGGCGCCATGTCTCTGTGGGAATAGGCACTCAGTAAACACTGATGGATCGCAATGAGCCTGACATTTGGGAGGAAAAGGCCAGAGTGGAAAAGGAGATGAGATGACAGCTTGCCAAAGGCTCTCAAAATAACTGGGTGTGTTGGGGCTCCAGAAGTGGTTTTCAGATTGTCCTGTGGGACCTGGTGTTGCTGGAACTGATCCAAGTTTCCATGAACACTTGCTTCCAAATATGTGTGCATAAAACATATGGTATTTAAAAACTGTAATACAACCTGAAAAAACCCCTAACATACCTAATGTCATACATCCAGAATGGCCATCGAAGGCCACCAGTGGGTTAGTGGGAGAAGTGGGGTGGCCTCGTTTCTGTGCAAACCTCAAGAGCGATGCTTTTTCTGCCTGAACTTCTTGTAGGCCTTGTCAATCATGGATCAGAAGGCCGTGACCACACCAGGATTTCACGGTTTAGGCCTATGCTTACCCTCTATCCTAAGACTATAGGAGTAAGATCCTTCCCCTCTTCTATGTGCAAATCAGTACCTTCTTGCTGTGGGACAGCCAAAATGGGGTAAAGAAATAAATGGGGTGCTGAGGCTCTGCTTCTATCATCTGTTGCCCCGATTATAAATTTTTATAGTCATCTGAACAGCCTTGTCATTCTCATGAACTTTATAAGTAACCGGTGGACATTTGTAATGTAGACTAACACAATACTGCCCTTCATCTCATCTCTTTCATATGAGATGTCAGCTAAGCTTTTGATTAAAAAGCAGAGTCTTCCACCATGGAGGGAGACCAGAGGTTGAGCAAATGACCAGCCCCTTGTGACTCAGTTGTGTCTTTTTAGAAAGGGAGCATGGGTTCAAGGACGCCAGGGCAGTTGGTGAGCAGAGAGACATGGTACACGGCCACCACCCAGCTGTGCGCTCTGTACTTAGCGCACCCTACATCTAACCTCTGTCCAACTAATGTGATCATCTGTCATGATGGGAGTCGGCAAGCATGGGTCAGTTATATAAAGCACACGGCTCTACCAGGCCTCTGGGCCTCTTCACTGAAACAATTTGAGATGGTATAATCTGATCGTCATCTGTTAAGGGACATTTTTTTAATAATAAATTTATTTTTTATTGGTGTTCAGTTTGCCAACATACAGAATAACACCCAGTCCTCATCCTGTCGAGTGCCCCCTCAGTGCCCATCACCCATTCACCCCCACCCCCCACCCTCCTCCCCTTCCACCACCCCTAGTTCGTTTCCCAGAGTTAGGAGTCTTTATGTTCTGTCTCCCTTTCTGATATTTCCTACCCATTTCTTCTCCCTTCCCTTCTATTCCCTTTCACTATTATTTATATTCTAAGGGGCATTTTTAAATCCGGTTGTCGCCACATTCTTGGGACGAGGTCGACTGGCTTCAGAACAGTGCTTAGCATCTAAGGCAATTTCCTCCCATTCTTTTTAAGATTTTATTTATTCATGAGAGACACACAAAGAGAGGCAGAGACATAGGCAGAGAGAGAGAAGCAGGCTACCTGCGGGGACCCCGACGTGGGACTTAATCCCAGGACCCTGGGTTCACGACTTGATCCAAAGGCAGACACTCAACCACTGAGCCACCCAGGCATCCCTCCTTCCATTCTTGAACGATCTCTTTCCATGGGCCTGGGGGAACAGGAACCCGTCCCATGAGCTACAGGGTCAAGGGAAGCCTTTTAACGTAGGATTTCAAGCAATATCCCCAGGGCCTGCATCAGTTGCATCCTCCCATTCAGCTATTCCTCCTGCAGGTGAAAGCCTAGGCGAAAATGAGGGCTGAGCCTAAATCCACACTTGGCTCCTGTGGTCAGAGCTGCAGGAAGTGAGAGAAGCCATTCTCTGGGCAGCCATTCACCAGCTCTCCCGACTGGCAGCTCTGCCCCCCCGAGCTGTGATTTCTCCATGGCCGACTGCCCCGCCCCCCCCCCCCAGCTCACAGTGATAAGACACCCTTGGGCATGAGAGGGTTTTCCATCAACAGGACCTGCCACCTCCCACACATCCGTGCGCCAGTTCTTGGAAGCAGTGGAGCTATTTCCAGGGCGCCCTAGTGGGGCCTGAAATCCAGGGAGGAAATGCTGAAGCTCCGCAAATAATTTAGGTAGGAGGAGTATGATTATTGAAGTTGAAATCTGTCCAGACCATTGAGTTAACCACTAATGCGATAAAAATTAATGCTGTAGGCTTGTGCAATTACTTCATTCTACCTAAGCCGATTGATATTGTCCAAATCATTAAAAAAATCTTATGTACCATTAAACATGAATGATGGAACCGAGTAAACCTCAAGCAGATGGCCGACTTAATGGAGCACCATTCCACACTGCAGTCGTCCTCCGGGATCTGAGATGGCCGTTTTTAGCCACCGTGATTGACATGAGCACGTGTGCCCGAATTCACACAGGCAGCGGGGCTTTGGGGCAATGTAACAGAAAATCGGCCCGCGTGTATTCACCAGCAATTAATCCCAAAATATGCATGGGACAGCAGAGGATTGAGAACTGAGACAGCAAATGACTTAGAGAGAGCCCAAGGTATTTGAGCAATGTCCTCGGTGGCCTCTCCACGGGGAAAGAGCTAAGGCAACAGCTGGTAGAGGTAGGCCACCAAGAGCTTGCCTTCTCAATGCTAGTGTGGGTGTGTGTGTGTGAGTGTGTATACTCTCTGAGCAGCCGCATCTTGGGCGTTTTTGGATTAAGTCCCTCCTGCACTGAGAACGTGGCAAAGCCTTGAGGGCAGAAGAGAAGGAAGGCTTCCCACCTCCCCAGACGGCTGTCACCAGATAGCACTGCTATTGCTCCACCAGCTCCCACTGATGACACACTGATCCGGAAGAAATTTGGAGCTGGTGGAATTAAGCACAGCCACACTACCACCAGACTTCGGATCTGATGCTTGCCTTAGGTCCATGGCCAGGGCAGACTGTCCAGTAAAGCCTGGACTTGGTCACCAAGCCAGGATCCAGAGTTAGGCAGGAGGACACAGGCAAATCATAGCTTTCCCGAGTGCCAGTTTGGAAAGGAATCAGCATCAGCTTGCACGTCTTTCAACGGTCAGCATTTTATCAAGAAGCACACACAAGACTGAGATCCTTATGATGAGGCAGGCAGGTTGACGAAAGAGACACCAAACGGTAACTCAGTTTTAACATTTTATTGGGTAAATGATTTTAAAGATAGTAACAATAGTGTCAAAACTACTACAATATCTTTCCACAGCCACACCTTACAGACCCACATAAACCTCATTTTTCCCGTTCACTCAGTTTTCATAATTTCAAGCTATACATATCATATAAAATGCCCATTTCCAATAGTTTCTTCAAACTATTAAGCAATTAAATGTGGAAGGAAGGAGGATCTAGTTATACTTGGAGGGGATTTCAGGTAATCTGTGATCTCTCACCATAATCCAAAAACAGGTTTCTAAGAAAGAAGGAAAAGAAGAGCTACTCCAGGTAGCTTTTGCTCATTACGAGTCTCACCACTGTATCACCAAGAACTCAGTATGCTGGTGACTGATCCAAAGTAATTTTGGGGAACATACAAAACGCTAAAATAACTTAGAAACTAGATCCAAGTATTTCAAAAGTAAGCGACTCTGGTATACAAAAACAGTCAGAGGTGGTTACAAAAGTTGGTTTTCTCAGTGCGTCTATGTACCAGCGCAGTTACTAGGTCCAGAGCAAAATAAAAGGTTTCTCTTCTTCTGAAACAGTAATAAAAAACAAGGAAAACAGATCTTTGTATATAAAGGATCAATGCTGGTCTTCAGAATAATGTAATTGGAAACCCTTAAATCGAGAGGCACACAATGGGTTTCTGCTTTTAAAAAATAAAAGGAAAGTCACCAGTTTATTTCAATGGAGGAGGCGCTGACACCCCCTCAAATAAACTTAATTCAATTTCACATCACTAGCAAAAATCACTTAGAAACTGTACAAAAATAAAAAAGTTAACACATTTAATCCTGCAAGGTTTTTGTAAGGACTGGAAGGCAGGCTTTTGGAGCAGCATTTGGGCATGGCTGGGGGCTTCTTTGGTTTGATCTAACACATGTTAAGAGATGGAACCTATTCCAGATGACAGTTTCAAATTTCCTGCACATTTGAAGACACAAAAAGAGGCCAGTATGCAAGCTTCCGGTGTGCTGGGCACTGGGCCTGTGTGTACTGGACTGATAATCTCACAAGTGCTTTAAGAGGGCAGGAGAACAAGAGCACACCTTGCACTTCCTCCATCAAGTACACAGACCTCTCATGGTAGGGGAGACTGGGGCAGGTAGTAGCACACATTCTCGTGCAGTCCGAAGGCCACTTAATAGGGGTCGGGGGCATGGGTGGGGTGTGGGGATGGGGGGGGCAAGTGTTCTTTTTAGAATCTGGTACCTGGCTGATCTTGTTCAAGAACAAGAGAACCTTCCAGAAACGGAAGCCTTTTGCTACATACCAAAGTAAGTGCTGTTTTCCAAGAGGGGGAAAAAATACCCAGTTGCATTTGAGAAACAAAAAAAGGAAAACAACCAGAAGTGGAACTAATTAACATTTAAAAGGGGGCAATGTAAACTTTGTGCTACTCAAAGAAGTTCAAGTATTACTTCTGAGCCGTTTAAAGATCAGTGAACTTACACGATATTCCGGTGATAAGAGTGCAATTCACATTTGTGTTTCTGAACAAATAAGTCACAAATGGCGAAAACACAACATGTGCAATCCGAATCTTCGTCTGAGTTAAAAACACATGCTACATATTTCGACATGTTCAAAGTTAATTCAAACCACGTATTTAACAGCTTTGTAATATCCTATGAAGGTGAAAGGGCCTAGCATTCATTCGTTTGAAGCACACCATTACAGTTTGTACGACACTCTATGCAACAAAGTCTTTTTAGTCAACAGCTAGAGACAAAAAATGCACTGTGCATTAATTTGAAAACAAAAGGAGACAAAACTATCCTTTCCCCCCAAGCCATGGTGGGAAATATTGCTGACCTTGTCCTCTGAAGCCTGCAGGATGGTTATTTCTTCAGTATAACATTATTACACTGGTAAGAAAAAAAATCTGTATAACATCTGCATATATCAAGAATTTTTTTAAAAATCTGATATGATTTTAGAGTCCGCATGACCAGTCACGTGACCTGCTCAAGATTGATTAGCACCGTTAAATACATAAACACACATATGTATGTATGTACATGTAAGCATATGTATACACACACATATGTATGTCATATAGATCTTTTCTTAAAAACAACAATAACAATAACAACAACAAACAACTTCTAACCACAAGCTCACCCAGGATGAGGAGCCTGCTAAACTGATGAGATGATGGATAAGATGGGTCAATATTGATCTATTTTGTCTCTCTTCGGTTTGCTTGTTTTATTTACTTTTTTTTTTTTTTCAGCAGACACTATCATTCAGCTTATGCTTAGTTTCCCTATAAGGGCAAGAAAAAGTCTCCATCAGGTAGCCATTTGGTTTTATGCTGAAAGACGAATCTGCTCCAAAATGCTCCCAAGGAGAAACGAGAGGACTCAAAATCCCTTTCAATGGCCCAACAGCTAGCTTGCTCTGACTAATCTCTAGGTTCAATGGAACTGGCTACCACGATTGCATTTCAGGCTAACAACTGGCTTCTTAGTTAAGGCATCACAACTGACCATGGTTATTTCCACAATGAGCACTGTGGATGAGGGACTACCAACAGACTTCCAAGGACTCATAAAAAACTAAAGCAGTTTCCTCTGCCACAGTGGTGGGCAGAAGGAATTCAGGCAAATCAGCTCACAAACTGGGAAAGGGTTTTTGAATTCGGAACTAGCAGTCTGTCACTTGTCACGGCCGATTTTATGTATAAGCTCTGCCATTTTTGAGATTCAGTGACATCTCAGAGTTTTAGGCTATGTATATTCTGCACCATACTTCTAGTCATCACTTGATATACTGGTTTCCTATTTGAAAAAAATTACACACAAATACACACACACATACACACATATTTACTATAGTAAAATGAAGGTAATCTTTCTCCAGAATCATCTATCATTTTTCCTAGGGACAGACACATGAAACTCCTACTCCTCCTGATGTTAGGAAATTCTCTTTGTATGCACCATGGGAAGACCAACCCTGCAAATGGGCTGGGCTCTAATAACTCTATCATTTCTAAATGCCAGCTCCATTTTCATAGGTGTAACATAACATCTTATCAACATAGTAAATGTGTTTCTATCAAAAGTATGTAGTGCAGAAAGACTCCAGTCTTGTCCCCGTGACAGACGTATCTGAAATCATGGCATATATGAACTTTTGTTTCACTAGATTATTCTTTACTATTTCTTTAAATAGTAGCTAAAATTGTCTCTGGCCAATCATGACTTGTTGAAACCTAAAGCTAACAGATTTAAATTAATATATAATAGACAAATGTCTCTTTTTGGTTCTCTGCTCAAAATAAATTTTTTCACCTTAAAAAAATACTTAAGAGTAAGGAATTTGTCTAATCTGCTGTTTCACATATAGACACAATAAAATTTTATAAGAATAGTTCTCTAAATTGCCTTTTCCCCCTAACCTCTCTTAACTCCATTTAATTATATTCTTCTCAAAGGCACTAAATTCTGTATCCGCTCTCTTCCTGATCTTTGCTGCTCTTCAAAATGATTTCTGTAGCATATCTGAAAGGTAGCTTGTACTTTCTTAAAACAGTGTTGTAGTCTGTAAGTTGGTTCTATAAAATGATGAAGCCATCTCTTCTATGATAACCAGCACAATAGGCATGAATGGTTTCTCTGTGACAAGCCCTAGCATGGGCCTCCAAATGTTCTATGCTAGAACTAAAGTTCATATATTTTAACCATGGGAAAAACACCTAAGGAGTGAAGACCCACATACTAAGCTCTCATAGCAAAATGCATTTTAGACAAATTCAAGAGTAGCACACAAATACCTGAATTTGATATGAATTTGCTTCTAAGCTCAGCTACCAAAACTTCTTTATCTTACTGAGGAAAAACTAGAGAACAACCTAAATAGAATCCTGAAAAACTGCACAATTTCTTCCATCCACAGTCGAAAGAAGGAGGGAAGAGATTAAAAGGAAGGAAAGTAGGAGGGAAGGTAAGGACAGAAATGCAGAACCCTGATTGAGAGAGCAAAGCAAAATTCTACATAATATGGTGAGGAAAGAAAACCCCAGAAGTTATATATGCTGCAAAAAAAATCAATGATCTAAAAATAATAAAACAGAATCTTCTTAAACAAATGCCATTTTCCTACCCGTTACCATGATGATACTGATGATGTCCAAGCTTCATCATGGCAACGGAAACTATCATCATAAAATGGTACAGTAAAAGAGATAGCTAGACCAAGAAGGGGTAGGGTCTCCTGGGAAGAGGTCTGCAGAGAGGCCCAATGACTGGCTTTGCGGCTCAGTGTCAGGAATAATGGTTGTATGGCGGAAGGGGATGCCCAATGCCATTTTGGAAATGATGATGCTGGCGATGAGCAAGGTATTCAGCATAGCTCAGGGTCATCTTTTCACTACGGTACCTGAAAAAGTCAGGGAAGAGACAAAGTTAACATCAAGAAATAGATGACACACCAATGTCAGAGCTGGAAGGGACCTCAGAGGTAACTCTACAGACCAGGAGAAACAGAGGTCCAGAGAGAAGTCGTGACTGCCCCAATGCCATGCAGCCAAGTGGCAAAGCTGAGCTCCAAACCCAGGAATCCAAAGTCTGAGTCCAGTGTTCTTTCTGCTTTACTACTCCTGGTTTCAATTGTTCTAGAAATTTTCATGCCCACCCCGCCAGGCCCCAGTTTGCTAACAGGAAGGAACAGAGGAAAGCCCAACCTATTGCCATTGTGTACGCCTCTCATTCACTTGACTACTCCTTCTTCTAAGACTTTCCCTCTTTTAGCAGCCCTTCATCTCAGGCTATCCTCAGCCTGGTGTTCCTTGGCTCCTCTTCCATGGAAACTGCTCTTTCAGAAGGGTTTGACCTCTCCATTATGAGACCACACACCATTCCCTGTCTGAAGCTCTCCTGTGCCATGGGTTCTACAATCCCACATGTCCCTAGTTCTTCCCTCTCACCCCCACCTCCACCCCCTGCCGGCTCTCAGGCTGCACCTTATATCTCTGACTATTCCTACCGCTCCTTCCTGGAAGGATTTTACTAGGTTTCTCCCTTCGGTTCTTTTGACCCTATACTCTCTGTGCTCCCTCAGGGAGCCCTGCCTTATACCTTCAACTATGACCTCATCACGGATGATCCCCAATCACCATCTCTGGCCATGAGTTCTATCTATGTATGTTTTTGGTGACACATGGGACATTCCTATACAGATACCCCAGGAAGCACTTCAAATCCAGAACCAATGCATAAATGTGACTCTCCTCCTTTGGTCCCTCCCTTAGTTAAAAGGTGCTGTGGTGCCTTGGTGTTTTTTTATCCAGAGTAAAGCCTTGACTTGTTCCTCTCCCCTACTTCTGAATGATGACTAGGGCCTTTCGTTTCTTCCAGTGTCTTCTCATCTGTTTGTGCCTTTCTTTCCATCCCACTGCCAACAGCTCTTATTAAGGCTACCATTTCACCTTCTTTGGATGGCTGCCTCAGATTCTTAGGTAAGAGTAATGTCTTCTACCTCCTTTTCCTGTTTCCCATTCCCATCTTAAACCTTCCCAAATACACCTGTTTCAAGCCCTTCAATGGCTACTTACTGCCTCTCGAGTCAGGTCTATATTTCTTAGCTGGAAACTCAAGGCCCTCCGTGATATGACCCAACCCACCCTCTGGGCCATGTTTCACTCTAATAACCACTTTCTCTATGTGCACTGAAAGACCAGCCAAATCAGACGACTGAACATTCCTCAGAACTTAGCTCTGTACTTCACCACCCACATGCCTTGACTCACTAAATGAATCCTTGCCTCCCTCACCCTCAAATAAATATTCTACCCATTCTTCCAGCCTAGTCTCAAATCTACTTCTACTCTGAAATTTTATGTTATCTAACCCCACCCCTCCTGGAAGTCCTCTTTTCCTACTTTATGACCTCACATCATCCATCACATTCTGCCTTATATGAATAATTATTTTTGTACATGCCCTTCTATTCTCCTAGACTTGAACTCAGGGAAAGCAGAGAGGGAGGCATTTTCAAATTTGTAACTCCTCAGAGCTGGGAAAAGCCCATTTTTAGACTATAAGCATTCATTGTAGCTCTATGGAATTGAAACAAATGGAAACGGCAATCCATTTTCCTAAAATGTTGGATGTTTTTAAAAAATAAGTATCCCTATCATCCCATTTGGAAATGTATTTGGCATTTGTTAGTCTAGCTCAATTGTGATTTTTCAGTAAGCTTTCATGGTAGACTTCTATCACTGCCAACATCCTAAAGATAAATTCAAATTTGAGGAGTGCTTATCAGAATCCAGGGGTTCTGCTAAGCAATGTCAAAAGCTGGCCAATGGCTAATTCCAGTAACTTTCTTCAATAATATGGTGCACAGGCTCAGAAGACTTGCTCGTGTAAAGCCAGAGTAATCACACAGAGCTAAAGGTTGGAAGGATGGGCTTGTACATCACACAGGCTTTACTGCCAAGCAGAGTTCCATCATATCCACCCCCACTATAGCCCTGAAATTCATTTCCATTCTGTTTCAGAAAAGAGAAGCAAGTAAGAAAGACCAAAGAAACCAAAGGGTTATAGACATATGCATCGAAAGGTACTGGTTAGCCTTGTGCTAGAAAACGCCTTCTGTACCTGGTCAGTTTTATGGTTTTCCTGAATTCATTAGTAATCGGAGCTTTATATCCTCCTTTCCTCAGTAAGGAGTCTATGGTCTGAATATGGTCCCATCCTGTGGAAAGTAGACCAGATAAAATACCAGTCAAGCACATGTCACAAGCACTTTCAGTCAAATACAAAATAACTTTGTAGAGGTCAGCTATCACTGTCACCAAATGCCATCAACTCCTTTGGTCCTAAAAACAGTCACACAAAAGAGCTAAGCTTTCCTCTCATATGGAAGCAGGTTCACCACTGCATACCTCAAGTTCTAGCTACCCATGATGGCTGACAACATTGGCTTTTTTTTTTTTATCTCAACTGCATTCAAAGACAGGAAGTCTAAGAGTCTGGCAGTGACTGCTCAGTAGAGACTCGGGAGCAAACCACGGACACTGCCCTCTTCTCTAACAGTGACATCTTTAAAAGGGAGGGAAAAGCCTAGATGTCATTGTGCCAACTCTGTAGTAGTTAGGATTTCCATGCTAACTCATGGTAATTTACTATCCCCAATGGTATCTTCAGGAGTCAGTCACGTGTATTTGTGTGAAGTATGCGAAGGCATTTTTATTGGTTTTGATGTGGGATGGTATACTTAATATCTGAGCCCCCCACCCCATCCTTTACAAAGCCAAAGGAACTACAGGATTGAGACATTTTCAAAAGCAATCCAAATAAATCTTCCAATAGCTGTCTTAAAGACAAACTCCCTTGTCTGCGGGGGAGGGGGTTATCTAATGCTGTTAAATTGTACAGTTAAATAGCTCACATTCATATGAACCAAACGTGAGGGAAATCCAATTAGAGATCCTTTCTGATGATCAAAACAACAAACAAAAAAACCTCTATAAGATATAGAAGAAATATTTATTTCAACTAATATTAAAAAACTAGAATTTTGTAGTCGCTAGAAAGGACAAAGTGCTATGGAATGAAGAATTCTTTTGTGTTACAGTGGGAGTTCATAAAGATTTGTGTTCTATGTGCAAAAACAGAAAAATGTTTGATGAGGAAGTGCAGACCAAGCATATAAAACACTAAGACTTCATGTGGTCTCCGTGCTTCTAATCTTAATGGGAAACCTACAACCCTCACAGTGGCTGAAGGAGCACCAGGCAGCCACCTAACAAGGACACATTTGATATTGACAATATCCTGGGGGGCTGACTGTTAGACGGAAGGCTTGTTTGTGGCAAAAGGCTACAGCACGATGGGATATGGGCAAATGGCACTTCAAATTCATATTCACTGCCTAAAAAGAAAACCCAACTTCTACAAGTCTTTGCTTTGGGGAAATTACCCATTTGTGGGTTTCCACTATCAACCTTGGGCACAGAGATTCAACTTCTGTGTGAGTTATTCACCGATTTCATACAGACATTGCAGTGGCAGTGATGGAAGAATCATTTCTTCTCATTTGACACTGGTCAATTATCAGACATAACTGCAAGGTCACATACTGCATTTCAATTTGTACTATTCAAATTCTCTACCAGATCATACGAAATATAAAGTACAACCATGACCTTGCTCCTTTGCAACCTCCGGTAGGTAGGTGGCGGTGCGTTTTGATCCTTTTTCATTGATGAATTCTATTCTAATGCCATGTACACCCACCTGAAAGAAATTGGCAGTTTTATTAGTACTGTCTTCTCCACAGAAACAGAAAACTTTATAATTTAATTTTCAAGAAAATGCAGTTCTTCCTTTCCCCTTGTTTTTGGAAGGGCACATATATATCATTTCTCTCCTTCCAAAGGGCTGACTTTGGGTTTGAGGGCCATTATGATGGCCACAGAGACCAAAAACATTGACCGACATGTCTTCAGTGTGTGCTAGGCTATGCTATTCTATCTGGCACAGGAACAACCATTCTGCTGTGTGTAGAATGAGGCAGTCAAGGACAAGAACTCCAACCCCACTCCCAAACTGTGGCTCCTGACACTAGGGAACTAGAGCAAAGGAACTGACTTCAAAGAGACAGCAGACACGCCTTGTGTTTTCAGGTACAATTGCCACTTCAGATGAAGTTCTGAAACTTCTGGGGCTGCCGACTCCCTTCCCAAGCTGTCTTGTCTCTTCAAAACCTCAAATTGTACATAGATGAGCAACCCCAGATAAGGCTGAAAAAAGCCAACATAACCAGATCTGACATCATCCCGTGTTCCCTGTAATATTTCTTTTTAAAGATTTTATTCATCTATTCATGAGAGACACACAGAGAGAGGCAGAGATACAGGCAGAGGGAGAAGTAGGTTCCCTGCGGGGAGCATGATGTGGGACTCGATCCCTGGATCCTGGGATCACGACCTGTGCCAAAGGCAGATGCCCAACCACTGAGCCACCCAGGCGTCCCTCTAAAATATATGTTATGGCTTACAGTGGGCCTGTAGGAAGCCCTCACTGTCTACACCACTGCCCTCATACACTCCTGATAAATTTACAAGTGGTAAAGATCTCAAATCACTTTAGGGCAGGGTATTTTTTGCAGTTACTTTTTTCTTTTTATTTTTTTTTAACACAGTTTCTTATATATTAACCCAGAGATCCCTCTAACTTTATGTGAAGCAAACTTTTGGTGATGCCTCAAGCAAGAGAGTTCTCTAAGTAAACGTGGGCAATTTCTTGGTAGTGTTTTAAGAAAGTTACATCCTTTTTCTCTGATTAGCACCTAGTCAGAAGGAATCTTTTCCCCCTCATACCTCGCCTTGAATCGTGTACAGAACTGAGGATCACATAAGGGTCTTCTTTGTAAACGCTGATAACATAAGTGAAATTTCAAAAGCCTAACAACTCCATTCTGTTCTCCCAAATCTACAGTCGCTTTAGATCAATGGTCCCCAAGTGCAGTGTGAGGGGCCTGAGGGAGGCACAAGACCAGGGAAACACTTTTATCCAGGAAAGAGGCTTCTTTTCAGAGCAGGTGAGTGAAGTCATAAACCTTGGCTCTTCCCATCTGTATGCATGTGGTGGTCTAAAAGAGACAAAAGGGTCCATGAAAACTTCTTCTGCTGCTTCTGCCCTGCACCTGAAATCTTCCAGTTTTTCAGGGAAGAAAAAGACCGTTGGAGAATCCATTTTGTTCTTTCCCCAGATTCTTCTTCACACATCCATCCACAAGAGCCTGTCAGATCTTCTGAGAAGGTTTTTTTTTTTTTAAGACTTTACTTATTTATTCATGAAAGACACACAGAGTCAGAGACATAGGTAGAGGGAAAAGCAGGCTCCCTGCGGGGAGCCTGATGTGGGGCTCAATCCTACAACCCTGGGATCACACCCTGAGCCAAAGGCAGACGCTCAAATACTGAGCTGCCCAGGCGCCCTAAGAAGTTTGTTTTTTTATGAAAGCCTATCTCTGTGGCTGTTTCTTCTATATGATATCAGTGCTCTTATGAATCGCCTTCTGCTGAAGATGCAATCAGGGCAGCTGTTTAAAAACTAACACAATAAGGCCTCCCCTACATATCCTGTGGGCAATGACTGTGGACAGCTGAGAAGAAATATGAGTGCTTAGCTATCAGGCATTTCCAGGATAAAGGACATCTACTAATCTCCCCAGTGCCTGACATGGTATGAGACAATGACAAATTTGCAACAGTTTCTGTATATCAACTTTTTGATCTGTGACTTTGAAGTTCTTTTCCTTCAACCATAGCAGCTCCTTCATAATTTGTTTTTTAAAATACCCAGCATAAATAATCTGTGCTTCCATCATTCACTGAAGTGAATTTTGCATCTCTGACTCAATTGACCAAAAAATCTGTCATGTAAAAATTGGAAAGAAATTTGGTAGTTATTAAGACATCTCATCAAAATCGTGAGGTGAAGAATGTTTCTCTGTTTGTGAGATGAGAGTGTTAGACAAAATCAGGGGCATTTAACTGGTATGGGGGGGGCCTGGGAGGCTGTGAAATTTATCAGAATTTCTGGAGGTTTCATGCTTCAGCAAGTATGGTTTGGAAAAAAAGAACAACTCCCCAGGTGATTTTTATTCTAGGTTAACTAGAAAACCTCTAATAATTGGTCTAGCTCTGACAAACTGTGGCTGTGTATTGAAATAAAAGTGATTTAGGAAAATTGGAGGTAATTTAGACACATTAATCCTTTCTTCATAGGAGTGCATTGTGTTCTTTAACAAAAATTTCAGAGATTTTAAAGCCTAGTAATTTAGCAATTAAAAGTGGTTATGACCAGCTGTATGGTATGTGAATAATACCTCAGTAAAGCTTCTATATGTGTGTGTATCACACACACATTTTATATGTATACATATGTAAATATAAAGAAGAAGGTTAAGATCAAACTAGGAAGGACATGCTGACCAAAATAAAATTTACTCATGGATAAAACTGATTGACTTTTGTATTTTGAGAAGGCCCCCACCACAGAATTTAATATGACAAGAAATTATCAAAATTCTCCCATTTAGAATTAGTACTACGTTTACAATTTTTAGTGTTTTTCTCTGCTCCTATGATTCTGAACAATTGAAAGTACCTATAAATTGGCATGTAAGTATGGTTATTTTAAAGTGAACCTTTTGGGAGAAATAACGCCTTTCTCAGATTAAAAAATATACTCCCCAGTGATAAAAAGCCCAAACCAGAGTGACTCATTTCTTCAGCCAGTGGAATCAGGAGAATGGCAATCATGTTCTGACCAGAATCAAAGCATAATAGCTTTTGGTCACCTGTTGAGCAACAGCATTTTCGTTACCCCCAGAACCACGAAAGCCACCAGATAGTCATACTGTGCAATCAGAATAGGAGAGTGGAAATTGGCCTGCTGTGGAGAATGACCGAATCTGGACAACCTGTGGAAATCACTGGCTTTGCAAATTAAGTCATCTCCACTGACGCAAGCACCCAAACTAACTCCATATTGTTTCAGGGAGAAATCTGTCACAGCTGCGACTCCAAAATGTAACCCTCGTGTAGAATAATCGAATCCTCTCTTAGATTGGAGAATCCTGCCGCTGAGCAGCAACCCAAGAGACAAAGGCTCCAGTCACAATTACCAGCTAGATAAAAGATCAACTAACCAGGGAAGTGGTATCCTCTGAAGCCAACTTCCACTAAAACTCTACCACAGTGTCACAGTAACTTTCCATTTCTTGGGCTGGATAAGGAGGTAGCATGTGGGAAAACGATGTTGTCTCCTACTACCTCTAACATTCTCCTAACTACCACTGCCTAAAGGATGGCCAGGTAGGCAAAAACTGGAGATTTGCAAATCTAGCCTTATGGGAGTCTGCTGGTCATTGCCAAAATTATTAGCAGATCTGAGAAAAAAAATGCTTTCAAGGTCCAACAGCTGTGATAATATCCTTTTAATCAAGACTGTACTTTTGCTAAGCAAAGCTATAAATCAACTCGAATGGTAGTAAATTAAATGTAGGACTTATAGATAAGAGGATATGGAATTAAACAGAGCTGTATCTGTGTGTGCACAGGGAACATTAAGACCAGTTCAACGGATTTCTATTTCATGCTAAAAAAGAAAGCCATATTTGTTCTGAACCATGATAGAGCGAGTGCTTTTTATTAATGCTATTATATCATCTTTTGTTTTTAACATTGCCCAGAATGATTCAACATCAAGATTAATGTTTGGACCCTAAAATAGATCTTGATTATTCTGGAGTTGATTATTCAGTTTGGGGATTATGCATCCCTGCCCCCACCTGGCCCCATCCTCTTTCCGCTTTCCATTTCTCTATCACAGAGAGATACACGCAAATTAATCAATTTTGCTACATGGTAAAAGGTTTGGTAGGAGATTATAAATAATGGTGAAAATGAAGCTTCTAGACTGTCTGTAGATTTCATTTTTCCTCATTATCTGGTCCCTTGTTAGAAATGTGACTTCATTTACAACTATTATCCTCTAATGCAGTGACTCTCAACACAGGTGCATTAAAAACGCACCCCTCCCACCCTCATTATAATACAGGTCCCTATTTTGCTCCTTACAACTGCACAAAGACTGACATCCCTTAGTCTGTAAGGCAAGTGTTAGTCCTATAATCCACTAGCAGCATGACCAAAGGCCTCCCTGTTACTTGCAAGCCTCATCAACAAGCCAACCACCTGGATAGGCTCAAACTTGAAAAGGAGTCATCTGGCTAAAAGTGGCAACGAGCATAAAACGTGCTCTGGCTAGGTCAAGAGGGCTCCACGCAAGCCTTGGACCATTTGGATCCACAATTACCTCCACAGTCCTGACCCTTAAAACAAAATATGTCCCTGATCACATCCTGGCCAATAAAACCAATTACCTCCTCTGGTTCGTCCTGTCTTAGCAAATGCCACAGTCAGCCCCAGGCTTTCCCAGTAACCAAATGTTGGGTTCCTTGTAAACAGTATGACCCTAGCTCACTCCACTGATATTTAGTGGGTACACCTTGAATAAATATAAATATATATATGATATATAATATCATATATAAATATGATATATATATATTCTCTCAGAGAGAGAGTGTCAAGAGTCAAGGAATCGAAAGTGGTTTGACATGTCTTTGTTGCGATATCATTTGGCAAAATATGCTTTGCAATTAACAAAGCCAGTCACTGGTCATTCACATACGATTGACCTGCCTGGCCCAATATGCCAGT